CCATTAATAATCCGCGAGGATCAAACGATGGATTCTTGAAACTGTTCGTATCTTGTTTGAAAAATCAGAGTAGATAAGGATTCGAACAACAGTTCAACAATTTGTTTGCGTTCTCTGGAAACTGTTCATAATCAACCATTAAAGATTCTTTCTCTCAATGCAGCATCTGAACTGGAATTTTTGTTTCGATAGCTGTCGATGAAGCTGCCCTGCCTGAGATGTTCTTCGTAACAATTTAATGAGATTTCTCCATGTTTGCCATTTTGCAGAAAATTCAGGAAGATACGAAGAGAAGAGGCTCTTTCGATTTCTTAATCTTCGTCTTTGCATCGGCCAATTTCTTGCATCATCATCATCCATTGTTGAATCTGAAAAAGCAACCACAGAGGATTGCACAAGGATAGATTGACGTCAAATATTCTCGTAAGTTGATGTTGCACGGCAACTGTTTGATGAAATGCCCAGCCGAAGTTTTGTGTTGTGGAACACCATGATTGGGTCAGCTTACTCGTAATGGTGAGGAGAGTGAGGCTCTTGGTCTTTCACCGAAGATGCAAAGAGAAGGAACCCTTCTAGTGAATTCACGGTTGAGGATCGTTGGGAAGGATTCCCACGTTAGCTAATTAAGGGGTTGATCATGAGTAAGTAAGAAATACATCTCCATTGGTACGAGGCCTCCTGAGAAAACCAAAGCAAAATCATGAGTGCTTATGCTCAAAGTAGGCAATATCATACCATTGTGGAGAGAGTCGGGTTCTTAATCTGGTATCAGAGTCATGCTTTTAACTTGGCCATGTCAATAGAATTCTTAAGTGTCGAACAAAGGGTGTATTTTGTTTAGGAGTCGAGCCTTGATTAAGGGGAGGCTGTTCGAGGGCTCCATAGGTCTCATAGGAGACTCTATGGTGTACTTTGTTCGAGGGAGGATTGTTGGGAAGGAGTCCCACATTGGGTAATTAAGGGGATGATCATGGGTTTATAAGTAAGGAATACATTTCCGTTGGTATGAGGTGTTTTGGGAAAATCAAAAGTAAAGCTACGAGAGCTTATGTTCAAAGTAGATAATATCATACTATTGTGGAAGTTCATGTTCGAGTGTTCTTTGCATCTGTGCAGCAAAACGTGCTCTTTCTGAATGTCAGCGGCCTCGTGCCTTTTCTGTTTAGGCGGCGATGTATCTAAATGATGTTTATGCAAAATGTGGTTTGATGTAGGATGCGACTTGTGTCTGTAAGTCCATGTCTGAGAGGAGTGTTGTCACATGGAGATCAATGGCGGCAGGGTCTGTGCAAAATTAACTGTATGAGGAAGCTTTGGCATTGTTTCAAACAGCTCGGGAAACGGGGTCGAAACAGGACGAGGCGGAGACCGAAACCGAGCATGATCTTCATCAAGTGGGAGAGTGTAGAAAACAAGAGCTTTTGAGGTATCATAACGAGAAGCTCGATCCAAAGCCACTATTTTATGAAGCTTGCCTCAAATTTCACTATTTGAAGAACCGTTCTTGTGCTCTCTATTCCTGTTTTATTTCAACAATCGTGCTCCCACGAATGTAGTATTGCTCATGAAGGTGTGAAAATCTTTATAAGAGCATAAAAACATCTCTCTAGTAAACACGTTTTAAAGCTTTGAGGAGAAACCCATAAGAGAAAGCCCAAAGAATACAACATCTAATTGGGCGGTGGATTTGGCCGATCCACTCCTTCTCACTAACTTCTCTCCGCTCTCTACTAAGAAAGAGAAGTTAGTGAGAAGATTCACTCGTGAGTCAAGATAGAGTAGGTTTACAAGCAAAGTTCGACAGTCACTAATAATGTCACGTAAATTACTTGGGTGCTTTATTTATTGTCCAAATTTAGGCTCGTACTCTAAAAAAAATTTAAAATTGGTAAAAAAAAAAAAAGAATAATATATAGAGAAAAAGGCTAATATATACGAAAATTAAATCTAGACATTCGAAAAATATAGAGACCAAAATAATATTTTAACCAAAATTTAAAGCTAATTTTATTTTTCACTTGAGAAATTATATAAAAGGTTAGAAAAAATAAATAAATCATATATTAATAAAATTACACTTTTAGTCCTTGGATTTTTTCAAATTTGATATTTTAACCTTCAAATTGAGTTTAATAACCGTTTGGTCCCTAAAAATTCATTTATTTTTCCTTATATATTTATTATTTTATTTTTTCCTTTCCTAAATAAATGTAAATCGTTAATAAAGAAAGAGGAAAAAAAAACAAACAAATCGTGAACCGTTAGATTCAAATTGGAGTTCAATCACGTGACGTGGCAGAATCTGAATGGATAAGATAAAAAAAAATACACGAAATCATACTCCAGAGGCAAGAAACCCTAAAGGTAGCCCGTCTCTTATATCTCTCCCTCTCTCGCATTAGGTTTTCTCTCAAGTCGCGGCGGCACCACAACTTCGCTCTCTCTGGTACTCTTCAGAACCCTTTCGTCCTCTCCTTCCAGGTCTGTTCTTCTAACTGGATTTTCTAATTCTCTTCTTGATGTGCCTTTGTATATAATTGCATGTTCTGTTCGCGTTGAGTTTTTCAGTTATCGAGTTTGTTGGATTCGTTCTTAGTTCTTCTGTTTCTGAAAATTTAATTAACCGTAGATTCATTCTGCTTTTTCCTTTTTTTTTTTTTTAGTTATCAGTAATTTTTTGAGAGGTTTTGTGAATCTGTTCAGTTGTTGATGAGAAAGAGAAGCATTTATCGCCATTGTTATGTTGCGGGCGTTTATTTTACTTTGGTTGCTATTCTGTGAATCATGACCCCTTTTAGATTTGGAGATGTTTGAGGTTATATGTTCTTTGTGATGATCAATGGATTTTAAGAAGCTTGTAGCTACCTGATGTTGGATGTACATTTTTCAAAAAATGTATGTCACAAGATGTTTATGCATTTTCTGTTTTTATTTATCAATGTTGTTCTTAAGTTTTTCTTCCAAGTGCAGAGCAGGGTTGGAAAAATGAAAAGGAAATCAAGGTCCATTTGTAGTTCTTGTGTGTGGAAAAATACCACCTAAATTCAAAGGGTTTTGAACTGAGTGAATTGATTCTTGATCTAGCTTAAGACCATTAGGATGTGTGTTTAGGATTTTGTTGGACACTGTCAGATCTTTTTCTGGTTGAAAAAACTCGTGCAAACTAGGGTAGGCTGCTGATTCTCATTGTTTTTCCCAGGTAAAGTTCGGTAGAAGATGGGTCGTGTTCGTACCAAGACTGTGAAGAAATCTTCACGCCAGGTTATTGAGAGATACTACTCTAAAATGACACTGGATTTCCACACTAACAAGAAGATCTTGGAAGAGGTTGCGATCATCCCATCTAAGAGGCTCCGAAACAAGATTGCTGGTTTCTCAACCCACTTGATGAAGAGAATTCAGAAGGGTCCAGTCAGGGGCATCTCATTGAAGCTGCAAGAAGAAGAGCGTGAACGTCGTATGGATTTCGTTCCAGACGAATCAGCCATTAAGATTGATGAAATTAAGGTTGACAAGGAGACACTTGATATGCTTGCTGCTTTTGGCATGTCAGACATTCCTGGACTCGTTGAGGTCGAGCCGCAGGCTATGGCTCCACTCCAAGCTTTCGGTAGGGGTGCAGGTGGCCCGAGGAGATACTAAGGTAATCAAGGTTACGCCACTGCTTTTGGGAATTAGAAGTTTTTTGTTATTCAATATCTTAAGGCCATGGACATTCTTGTTGCTAGTTCTCTTCAGATTTGTCCTTAAATTTGGTACTTGTCTTTTTAGTTTTGACTTTGAGTGGATGTTCAAATCATTCTGGACATGGATGATGATACTTTTGTTATAAGTATTGAATATTTCTGAAGTTAACATTTTGCTATTAGTCATTCTTCACAGCTGCAATTTCACTCTTATAATTCACTTTTCTAGTTTGTTCTGTTCATCAGGCATTTCGTTCTATTGTTTGTGTGGGATTTGTTTGATAACGATTTTGTTTGGAGTGATTGGTCTTTTAATTCGTATTTAAACTTTCTTAATATATATTTTTTGGTAGGTTTCTACTGGTTTCTTCAAGTATTTAACCACAATTTCTAAACCTTTTACTTCTTTTGATTATTCCTTGTGTTCTTTTTATCTCTACTTTTCAGTGAACAATTTGGTCAATTGGAAGTTATAAAGGTTATTAAAATCGAGTTCTAATGAATTTTTGTGTGTAATGTTTTCAAATTAAATTATTGAATCAATAATAAGCCTTTGAATTTTGAGTTACTATTTTATCTTTGATCATTGGCCATTAAATTTTTATGCTCCATTGTTGTGCTATCACATCAATGTAGAACAATTATTCCTAAAAAATCACCAAAAAGTGGACATTCCTTTAATATACTTGATTTTATGCAAGATCTAATTTCATTAAAAGCTCAAAATCCATATTTTAATCAACATTTTAAGTGACCAAATCTTTGTTCTCGACTCCTAATTACAAAACATTGTGAAAGTAGTGATTTTTAATAATAAAAATAAGGAAATTTGGCAATAAGAGATTAAAGGAGGCACATTTTTATTAGTAAAATCAGAAATTTCAGAATCCCAATTTGGGGTTCTCGACGAAATGGGTGGGGTTTTTTTCACAATATTTCATTTTCTTCCATCTCAATTATCAAATGATTTTCAGTAATGGTACAAGACAATGAAAATGGAAGTGAAGAAAGGGAAGAAAAGGAACTTTCAATTCCTGCAAATTTACTTCTTACCATGGAATTTTGGGCCGTCGGCATTTATGGCTTCTCGCCGGCAGTCAAGTCGGCAGGAGAGGTGTGCCATGGTGCTATGGCCAGCATTCTACTGGTTAATCGGCGATCGAGAAGGTACACCCCCTTGAAATCGTAGTTTCTTTTGATCATGAGTATGGTAGCATTTCGATGAGATAAGAACTTGTGAAATCCTGGCTTTGTTTTTTCTGAGAGCTCTCATATGAACATCTGGTATAAATTTTGACCTTGATTGTAGCTCATGGGGAATGCTAACAGGTGGGTGCTTTGAATCTTTGATCATGTAATATTTTCTGGATCAACATGAAACATTAAACTTTCTGAATGTGAGATCTACAAACATGAATGTATCACAAGAATCAGAGAAGAAAAAGGAAAAGCAAAGAAAGATAAAATGCAACTCAAGTGATAGGATCATTCATTGGATTTTGAGAGTAAAATTCTGTATGAAAATTTTACCTTTCGCTTACAGTCGATATCTTCTTTGATGAAGATATGTGAAAAGATTTTGTAATATCTTGAGTCCATTTATACTAATCTCTGTAAGATAAACAACTGAAAATAACATATCCTGTTTCCGAATTCAGTGCTTCTTTCGTTAACCTTAATGATATCATAGATAAGATTCAAGAAGCTTCAAGTTGTAGAATCCTTGAGTATCGAAGTTAGTTGTTTCCAAATTCGTTCTTAAGGAAAATAGGCTGAATATTTTAGGTGCCCTTGAAACAACCCAAGGCCACCGCCAGTAGATATTGTCCATTTTGGCTCGTTACGTATCACTATCAGCCTCACGGTTTTAAAACGTGTCTGTTAGGGAGAAGTTTGCACATACTTATAAGATATGGTTCGTTTCCCTCTCCAACCGACGTGGGATCTCACATGCTTAATGGGTAATACTAAAAACAATCATGATAGATAGTATTCAGGAAATATGATTGAAACATAGGGAGGTTGTGAGATCCCACATCGCTTGGGGAGGAGAGAGAAACACCCTTTATAAGGGTGAGGAAACTTCTCCTTAGCAGACGCGTTTTAAAAAACCTTGAGGGAAAGTCCAAAGAAGACAATATCTGCTAGCGGTGGGCTTGGGCCATTACAGAGGTCTTGTTTCTATAGTGGCCATGGTTGTTGATGTTCTTATTCTTATTGCCAAGTTTTCAATGCTTTGTTATCGTCATTTTACTTCTGTTCTTTCTTTTTTGAAGTAAACAAATTGATCTAGGGATTATGATCTTATCCTAATCAAGTTATTATTTCTAAGCTTTTCTCTCTGTTATTGTGAAGCTGAACAAGGAAAAACCTAGATGAAGAACTTCTGTTCTTGGTACCAATCTTATCCCTATTGTTTTGTTCTTCAAGAGGTTAAGTAAGAAAGCATTTTCCACTAGAAGACAGATATGTTCATTGTTTTTGTACCAAGCAATAATGGCACCAGATTGGCTTCTATATTTGCACCAAAGGAATCTCTTCCTTTTTGTATATGATTTAAATGGTGAATTTCTTTGAAGAACTAAATTACAGCATATGTTTAAACATTTTCCTTGAAATGGCTTCTTATACCTTGAATATCTTAACTAATATACTGTAATTGATCACTGATGAATCATATTTTTGGCAGAGTTGAAGATACTAATGGAGCTTTACTTCCTTTTAATGCCCTTCACTCCTATGCATAGAAGGAATTCTTCCTGTGCACTTGAAGATATTTTTAGCCCGCTACGTATTGTTGTCAGCTTTACGATTTTAAAATGCATCTGTTAGGGAGAGGTTTTCATGCCCTTACAAAGAATGTTGCATTTCACTCTTCAAACGATGTTGGATCTCACAATCCAACTCTTTTGAGGGCTAGCGTCCTCGCTGGCACACTGCCTGCTGTCTGGCTCTAATACCATTTGTAACAGTCCAAGCACACTAATAGCAGATATTGTCTTTATCGCCGTTAGCTTCACGATTTTAAAACGTGTCTATTAGAGAGAGGTTTACCCTCCCTTATAAGGAATGTTTCGTTCTCTTCTCTAACCAATGTGGGATCTCACAATCCACCCCTATTGGGGTCCCAGCGTCCTCGTTGGCATATTGTCTGATGTCTAGCTCTAATACTATTTGTAACAGCCTAAGCACACCACTAACAGATATTGTCCACTTTGGCCCGTTATGTATTGGCGTCAACTTCACAGTTTTAAAACACGTCTATTAGGGAGAGGTTTCCACACCCTTATAAGGAATGTTCCGCTGTTCTTCATGTTGGTATCATCGTGATCGCTTCTATCCTATTGCTTTTACTATTGAATATTTATAGTTTACACAATTTCCAATAGAATTTAATTTATTGTTTTAACTCTTTGTATTTTAGCATCTCGACTTCAAGAAGAACTTAAATGATAGCTTCTTTTCTTGGTAATCAAATTCGTCTATTTTGGAATGCTCTTAAAGAGGCTAACTTCCATCTGCTTGTACAACTCAGAGTCTTTAATTTCAGTATCAGATCTTCCAACTTTTGCATTTTAGAAATTTCCCGTATCACTTTACTTTCTAACCTTGTAATGGTTGCTAAATCGACGTGGTTATCCACGCAGGTCGACATGTTATAATTGTGTAGGTTTAGCACTTGCCTAAATACAGCTTAACCGTGTGATTTCCTTGCGGTTCGCTTGGTTTTATTTGTTTTTATGAAACAATCTGCGCTTACAGATTTCCAGTTGAGCATCTATGTATACCTGTACCGATTTGCATCCATGCATTAACTTTACTATTATTTCTTCTGTTTTTATATAAACTGAGGAAATTTGTAGAAACCATTACTCACAGCATTTGCTTCAAATCCTCAGAAAACCACTAGATATCTGAGGAGTGGTGGTGGCAACCTAGAGAGCCATGTTTATAGTTCTGAGGAGTTGTCCTTGAGCGTCGTCGATCAACTAATCAAGACTTTGACAAATCGCTTGTTCTTCAAACCTCGTCTAGTTATTCTAATCTACGTATGAAGCAATCAGAAGTTCCTAGCAAGGTATAATTTTTCTCCAACTTGTAGATATCATACTCTGTTCAATTTTTTTTTCCCTGAAATGATTTTGGTAGTCTTGTTTTGATCTTGTTGTTTTTCCCTTACCAGGAAGATTATGATCTCTTTCCTTTCCCCAAATGAATCCTTTAGTCCATTAAGGAAAGATGAACACATAATCAAGGCATGTTTTGGTGAATTCTAATATATTTCCTATTTCTTGTTTGGTGGTTCTGGAAAAAATTCCAAAAGAAGGAAACTAAAAGAAAACTTGCGGCGGATATAGGAACGGCTCCTAATGAAAATGATGCATATTTGGATCTCAAACTATCACCTCCAGGGGTCTACTTAAGGGGTAAATCATCTAATGAATCGAAATTGTCGTCCCCAAGATCTCAAGACTCATGCGTATCTGCTGAGGTTGAGTCAAATGTGAACTTGGAGAATAATCTTCGAGATGAAAGCTCGTCTTTGATCGTGATGGGATGTACTTGTTGCCTCCTTTATGTGATGGTAACAGAGGCAGATCCCAGATGCCCTAAATGCAAAAACTATGGCTTGCTCGACATTTTTCGTCGAAATCAGGAGAAGAGATCAAGAAAAGAACTAGTTCGAGCATGAAGTTTGCATGGTGGCTTGTGTTCAAATGCTCCAGTATGCTCTTGAACTGATGCACCCTCTGCCGTTTTTCTTAGTGTCCTAAACCATCTTATTACTTGGGGAGTCAGAATTTGATGAAAGATATGGTTTATTTATATCTTTTTGCTCAGTAGTTTGGTTTTCTTTCCTTTCTTTTGAGAAGGCCAATTCACATATTAACTGTGATTCTGATGTTAAAGAGTAAAATTCTTTCTTTCTTTGGGCAAATCACAGAGTTCATTCTTTTTTTGTGCATTTACTCTGTTGAAGGCTTTTCCGTGCATTCCATTTTTTGTTAAGGCGGGGAACAGCGAATTCTCTTTCTCGTGTTCACAAATCGCCATTGGAGCTCATTAACCAGAACTGTATTCAGAAGAACAAAGAATTCAGCAATAGACTTGGTGAGTTCATTCAGGCTACCTTGTCTTGATCTTTCTTTTTTCTTTTTTACCATATTTGCTGCTTTCTTGAACCAAATAATGCTTGTTTTTAGGGAATTTTCAGAAGTTCAACAAAGTATAGTAACTCTAGATTTTGAAGCTCTGATTTTCTCCATTTATTTTCGTTTGAAGGTTTACATATATGGTAACTTCACCAATAATGGGTAGGTTCTTGCAGGGGAGGGGAGGGTAACCTAATCAATCTTCATTTATTTTCCTTTTGGGAGATTAAAACAAAAGCAGGTTAAAATTGATTCTTCTTAAACGCCTGAGTTAAACCTGTTTTAAGACTAAAAACAAAGGGTTTTGAAGATTGAAATTAAACCATTCTATAGACTAAAGGCTTTGAAAACTAAAGTTCGTGAGAGAAGGAATCAAAGGACTATAGGATAGAGTTGAACTTCACTACATATATCAAATCAATATCAATGCAAATTCAAGTTCAATTGCACGAATAGTTTGGTAAGTTGAATGGGATTTGCTCTATCTACCTCTCATCTCTTACTCTCATCTAAAATCTAGTGAGAAGTGATGATAATGAGGCTATTGCAGGGGTTTCATGCGACTCTTACACGGGATTGTCTACTTTTGATCGTTCCAAAGAAACTCAATAACTAAAAGAAGAGCAATCTTTATGTGATTGCACACGATATATTGACTCGAGTGATAGAAAGTCCAAAAGTGTAATCGATGAAAATTCCTTATTCTACAGATCTTTTCATCGTCTAAACAAGCAAATGATATGTCATATCCTTTTGTGATGATGGCTGATGTAGGTACTTGCGAAGAAAGAATGGCTGAATTGAAAAAAAAAGTCTTATGTCGATGAAAGCGGTCAAAGAGAGATTATGAAATTTCCAATTCAATTTCTTTGTCAACAACTTGAAGATATGATTATGAGCGCTATTAGACCTCAATATGATGGATCTACTAACAATTCTCTTATGTATTCTAAACCTCACACTAGATGAATTGAGAATTTGAGAATGACTAGTACCTATCAACTCTAAAAATTTCAACAATTTCAGGGAAATGAGTCAAATGATGCCCCAAGTAACATATTGCTCGCTTTATAAGATGTGTGAAAATGTCAGAACTTAGTGTGATCTTTTTAGAGGTCGGGTCTTATTTGGGATATACAAAGTTTTATATAAGTGATAGAAAAATTATACCCTAAAAAATATGTAACGAATAAGAGTATAAAAGATGAATTAAGTGAAGAAACAGACAAATGCACGCTTGTGATATTGCGTGCATTTTCAAATCCATGAGAAAGAAATTGAAAGAAATATTATTTTTTCGAAAGAGAATTCAAATATTTTAGTTAGAATCCCAATGAAAATATTAAAAAGAAAAATACAATACTCATCCATCGTAATCATCTCATAACATATTTAAAAAAAGTCATGCAAAAGTCACTCGTCACAATATGTTTAGAAAAAAACTCATCTAATAAAGTTAAACAAGTATACACACAACATGATCATGCAACACGAACATGAACATGTGGGACCCAAAATCATTTCAACCCAACTAATAAGAACAACTAAATCATTATCTTGAATTGTACCAATATTTTGGTTGTGCATGTACTTAAACTTCTCTATTCTAATTGGATTTGTACACATTATTTAGTTTTAAATTCTTGGTCAAGTTTTAAAAATGCATGAATTAGGCTTAATAATCACATTTAGGTAACCATTAAAATAGAGTCAACTTAGCATGTGCAACAACAAAGGGATCTCAATTTTGTATGCCATAGAACTTGGTTGGTGGGGAACAAGAGACCTTATAATACTTGGAACATGATTGAAAGGAACTTATGCGGGAGGGTGTGATTTGAAACATAAGAATCTTTTAATCCAATCGCCATAACATTTTTTTTGTCATCAATTCCTTTATTCCCCCAATCATTATCTTCTGTGCAATTCATGTACATATCCATATGCATATTATATAGAGATCAGAGACAAAGAGATGCACAAAATCAAGCGAGTTGCAGAGCAAGGTTTTTGAGATTACCAGAGCAAGGTTTTTGAAGATGAAGCTGCTTCCTTCTTTCTTCAAGAACAGAGAATCGTCGGACAGGCCATGGCAATGGCCGATATGCGGAAGCTCCAAAACTCCTTCATTCAGAGCAGGCGATGAAGAAATCTTCAAGACAGTCAACTCAGTCTTCTTCGACAATCTTCTCTCCGATCGAATCGAAACGCCTGATTCTTGGTTCGCGAAATCATCGCTGTTCGAATCCGCTAGGTTTTCGACCGATTTCGACGACGATTTTGAGGTCGTGGTCCGAGGCGCGAAATCAGAGAGGCTAATCTTCGAACCTGGCGAAACGAATTGCATTATAAAGAAATCAGCAGACGAAGGAAAGTGCGATTCGATTCGATTCGAAGGAAGCGTGGTTGTAGCAGTGGAATCAGAAGATCCGTACCTGGATTTTCGAAGATCGATGGAGGAAATGGTGGAGAGTCTTGGAATTAGGGATTGGGAGTGTTTAGAAGCGTTGTTGAATTGGTACTTGAGAGTGAATCAGATCAAGAATCATCGTTACATCTTTGGCGCTTTCGTTGATTTGTTGGTTGATCATGGCGGCGACGGTGGATTTACGGATTCCACTTCCATTTTTTCCGATGAACTGATCATTCAGAATTCTCCACGATCCATTACGTAAGAAGAATTTTGGCCATTTTTCTGTGAATATTATTTTCATTACGTTTTGAAATTCAACTTTATTATTAGTTCATGCAAAATTATTCTATCCATTCCTCACCTTGTAAATATTTATAATTAATTTTCTTCCACTTATCGAATAATTTAGATTAAATAAAATTAGATGCAATTTAAATAATATAATTTTGTAAAAATAATTTTCTTATAATAAATTATAAATTAATATTAGCATGGAAATAATTGAAATAATAAGAAGCCCAAATAAAAAGGGCTCGGTATATTTGGGCCTAAGCCCAAAATATTGACCCAAATGTAGACTGGGCCCATATATGCAGCCATGGACTATTTGGGCCGGATGGTGGGCCGAGGAAATTGTTACGTACGCCTCTACTTTGTTTCCAAATGAATAAATAAATTTTAGTAATCACTACAAAATTTTCAATTTATTAAAAATATTATTTAAATATTGATGTATATTAATTGATTTGACCTGACATAACAATAGAGAATCAACCAACTGAATAAAACAATGATATTACGGACTGATATGGGATCCTTGGAACATACTACAGCCCTAGGTGGTGAAGAGCTGATATCAAGGTCCCGTCGATGTGAGCTCTTGGGGAAGATCAGTCTTTTATTCCTAGAGTAACTTTTATCCGTGAGCGACGGCCCTTCCACTCGGTATCGTTGTTTGAGCTCGATGGGTGGGTCTTGCAATCAAGCTCCCTTCTGCCTTTGCACTGGAGGGCCAATCTCCATCTGGCCCGAGGAAACCTTTGCACGCCTCTGTTATCTTTTGGGAGGCCTACGCCCCATAGAAACTGTCTACCTAAGACTGTCTCTTGGTCCGTAGGTCATAACACAAGGTTAGAGTTCAAACTAAGCTGCGCAGGAAAGGCCTAAAGCCAATCCCAAGGAACAGTGAAGCTTCATAGGGCCTTTCTGTCCCACTCTTTGAGGTCCATAAGTTCTCACATTTTTATAAGGAATGCTTTGTTCCCCTCTCCAACTGATATGAGATCTAACAATCCACCCTGTGGGGTCTAGTGTTTTCACAGGCACACCGCTCCTTGTTTGACTCTAATACCATTTGTAACAGCCCAAATCCAATGCTACCCATTTGTAATAGCACAAGTTCGACAAATATTGTCTACTTTCTGCTTTCTCTCTCGAGCTTTCCCTCAAGATTTTTAAAACATGTCCATTAGGAACAAGTTTTCACACCTAAGTAATGTTTCATTTCCCTCTCAAACCGACGTGGGACCTCACAATATCCTACCCGATCAAATATGATATTGAAAAGAGAAAAATCCCGACAAATCTTTATTTTTGTAAACAATAAACAATAATCTCGATTTGTAAGAAAGATAGTTGTCAAAATCAAAGCCTCCAAATTTGAAAAAAAAAAAAAAAAAAACAAAACAAAAAACCTTAAAGAATAAAGACAACTTTATGAGATGGATGAAAGAGTGAGAAGAGAATGTTTTGTTTCCATTCCATATGGATTGCCAATGTAAATCTTTTTCTTTTTCTTTTTCTTTTTCTTTTTATAAATTTTAAATTTTTAAAAAATATAAAAAAAAATAAAAAAATAAAAATGGACAGATAGTCCTACTCTCTTTTCACTTTAAGCCCTTTATTATTAGCACTCTTTCCCTTTTTCTTTTTTTTTTTCAACCTTTTTTTATTTCATTTATTATTTTAAATTATTTAAATTATTTAAATTTATTTTATTAATCTTATTCTTAACAAAAGTTTAATCCTTCTACTTTTTCTTTAATTTCCCTCACCTACAAGAAAAGCACAAACATTCTCTTCCTTATATACTCAACAACTCTCTTACACTTTCTTCAACTTTACACCAAGAATTGAAAGATGAGAGCTGGAATTTGCACTATACAACTTCAAGCTCTTAGCATCGAGGCCGAGACGACGTTGAAGCAAGCGATCGGGCTAGCACGTCGACGAGGCCACTCTCACGTCACTCCGCTCCATGTAGCTACCGCAATGCTCGCATCGTCCTCCGGTGTCCTTCGTAGAGCTTGTCTTCATTGCCATTCTCATCCTCTCCAATGCAAGGCTCTCGAGCTTTGTTTCAACGTCGCTCTTAACCGTCTTCCTACGTCGACACCAAAC